ATATATATATATATATATATATATATATATATATATATATATATATATATATATATATATATCGTTGAATGTGAGTGTGTTGTTATAAATTTTTATTTGTGGCATTGTGGTTTGTTTAGATGACGGTGTCTCAAATTAAGGCGGAAATGGATAAAACTCTTAATTGGCTCGTTCCTTTAGCCACTGATACCACCAAGTACGCATGTCAATGTTGTTTCTTGCACCAATGCTTCATACAATCTTCTTCAAATTACTTATACTCCATGCTCCTTTTCTTGTACCTGCAGAGCTCACCATGGTTTTGGGTTTGTTGGAGAGTGGGCAAACACCGGGTAAGTGGCCCATTTTCATTGTTATAAATGATTGAAGACATTGATTTGGACCCATAAAGATTTCTATCTCTTGTCATTGTTGAATAGTATTTAAGGCGGCTAATATTCAAACATTTCATTTTGGGGTGGGATGTACTCAAATATGACCTCTAGCCCAAAAAGTAGAGTGGTTGTTTTCATAAAAAAGTCCCCTGGGCATGTGAAAAGTGTACAGAAAAAAGAAAAAGTCTACCCTCCCCCTCTAACATTTGGAAATAGAACGAATAAGAAAGATTTAGAAAAGGACTTGAGACAAGAAAAATGAGTTAGAAGTAAGATACAACATAACAAAAAGTAGGTACAAGAAAACATAGGCAACATAAGAAAAACTATGCCCCCTGGCTCACTAACCCTCCCCACCCTTGTCCAACTTCCATCTACACTAGCTAAAGTTCTCCATCCATAGTGTACTACCCTAATCTTGCGTCTACAATATCTTTTACCTTAAACATTGTAGTTTTCATGAGGCGAACCTCATATACCAACCAAAATGGTTCGTTGTTGCAAGCCTTGTAACATTCCAAAACTTGGAAAAGAGTTTACTAATTTAAAACTTCTGTAAAACATCAATAAAGGTACAACTTCCTTTCTAAAAGACATCATGTGATTACCTATAAAAGCAATTTAAGGTTTACTTCAACTTACAAAACCAAACCCTACACAAAGACTAAGTTACGAATGGGTATTACTAAAACCAAATACATGCAGCTATCTCCAAAGTATGGAAGACGTCCCCAAATAGATAAATCCTTCTAGTACCTCAAACTAGCGCTCAACTCTTCACAAGTGACGCTAGTACCACCCCACAAGGACCTGATGCACATGCCAACAAGAAAAAATTGTTAGGCTTAAAGCATAGCAAGTTGAAGCAGTTTTCATTTAAAATGTATAAAATGGTAAAATTGAAATAGTGCTCTTAAATCATAATTTTGCCAATGAAATCATACATACTACAAAAACAACATTTTTGCAAAACCCACCATTCTCAGAGTGAAAATCCAATAACCAAAACACCCATTTTAGGGTGAAATCCAAACCCAACCAAAACATGGATAAAACTAATATCCAAACATCAAAACATGGATAAATATTCTGTATCCATACCCAAAACACCAAAAATATGGATAAGACTTGATATCCAAACAACAAATTATGGATAACACTCCATACCCAAAACACCACCTTTCAGTAACAGGGGAGATTTGTTTCCATCGAATGTGGTGAAACACAAAGTAAGTCATACATTAACATTATTAAGTAGCACCTCAAGATTCAATTTACCTTAGTGCCTATTCTTTCGAGCTTCACTCCAAGGCTCGTGTTCTTAGTGCCTACTCCTTCAGGTAGCACCTCAAGGCTCATGGTTCATGGTTCTTAGTGCCTATCACTCTGGGTAGCACTTCAAGGCTCAAGTCCCTAGTACCTACTTCTTTGAGTTAGTAAATGGTCCCAGGGTCCTACTCCATAGATTTCATCCCCTTAATACTCCCAGTGACTTAGTGCCAACTCTACTAGACCAAAGCCTCAAAACAAGGGTCCCGATGCCCGACCCCTCACAAGTTCATCACTGCAATAACCAGGGTCCCGGAGTCCGACTCGACATGATATCACCTCCGTAATATCCACAGTTGCGGAGTCCGATTCATATAAGTTCACCTCTGGAATACCTAAACGACCATTACTCAAGCACCGGCCACAAAGGGAGAACATCAAAACTTCTCACTTACCAAACACGACTAACTCTTGTCTATGGATTCATTGTATTACAATCTAGATTACATGACTTCAACACACTTAAAACATGCAATCCCAATAAATGTGCAATATATGCCATTCACATTCAAATAAACCATTGTATAATTTAGGTTGGGCAAAATCCCAAAAATGCATTTGAATCAATATCAAATCAATAAACTCCACGACTTACTTAATTCCTCAATAAAAGTCGATATAAAGCAATAAAATGCATTTACCCAATGTTTATGCAAACTCATGCTTCAAGAGTATAATTAGTTCAAAAACCCATCCAAGGTTGGGATAAATCATCCCCAAATGAGAATGATACATCCAAAATGTCCCATGACCCAATGATATGCATTTTCCAAATGGTTTACAAAATGAAATACAAAAGTGTGTTAACGTCAAAAATCACACTTGTATGGAATAAATCATCAAAAGATTACCCTCTTATGATTCGTTTATCAAAATGTACAAAACCCCAAATATAATTGTTTTTCAAGGTTTATAAAATCAAATGCATCAAATAATCGACAACATTTTATAAATCTCAAGGAAAACACTTTAAGATTCCAAATCGGACATTTGTTGCATGTACATAGTTTTCACAAAGCAACTTGAAACTCACATTGCTAGGTTAGGTTAAATCTAGTTTCTAAACCCATCTCTAGCCTCCAAAGGATGAAGATCTAAGATCCACAAGCAAATATCTCTAGAAATCTTTTCAAGGCCACAACCAAGCCTGGAAATGCAACAAAAAAAAGATTATGAGCTTCAACTCCACAAAACCCCCAAATTAAATCTCAAACACTAAAAATCTTACCTCTCAAGATATTGAAAACTTCCCCTATATATCTTCGATCCTCATTACTCCCTCCATTTTCTCCAAAAGGCCTCCAAAACTCGTCCCCAAGGTTGCCATAATCGCCTAAGGTAGAGAAGAAAGGGAGAGGATTGAAGAAATGGGAAAGAACCTCGCCATAATGGCTTAAAAAGTCGAGCAAAGGCCTTCCTGCGACCTAAGTAGCAGGCTAGGTTGTCCGTGTACCCGGCCGTGTGCCACTATGCTACAAGTGAACTTGGCTGGACCCAGGTCGCATTTCAGGTCCCCTGGACACCATTGTTGCCCAAAAACCCGACTTATTAACCATAATCGATCCTGCAACAAGCGACGGTGTGTGATTCCTATAAAGACCCACATTTAGAAGTTCATGACAACGATAGTTCAGTCAAATCCCATAATTGTACTACAACGAATTTGTGGGTGTTACACAAGCCATGGTAGCAGGTCAGCGCAACATCTCCAGGTTGCCATTCGAAAGAGTTCCGGACCCAAGAAAATACCCACCAAATATCTAGAATATAATAATCATGAAAAAAGTTTATTATTCTTTTTACCAGAAAGTTAGAACATTGTTAGTGAATATTCTACATATTATAGTGGAGAATGAACTGAGACAAGAATAACCTATCAACAAACTCTCTTTTTCTTATCTATTCTCCCAATGTGAGTTTTTATATTTCGATTTGCTACCGTGCGGTGACTGAATGAGAACGGATAAGAGGCTCATGGGAGCTTCCCTCCCTTCTGTTCTTAATTCCTTGCTCTGCAGAATTTTATTGAACATTTGTGTTGTTATTTGGTGTTGCTCACTAGTTTAAATCTGACAGAAATGAATTTGGGACAAAGACAGCAGGGAGTAACAACATTATTCGGCTGCAGACATTGTATTATGCTGATAAGCAGACGATGGATCTATACATACTCGACTTGATCATCTTGCTTCACCGTCTGATTAGCCTTACACGATATAAAGATGATGTATCTTCTTCTTCAAAGGGTCTGAATCCGCATCATGATGGTAAACTCAAAAGGATCCAGATATCTTCAGAAGACAAGAATCTGTCGGGAAAAGGTAACCAAACAGAGAATATTGGTTCCCGGAGTAAGCAATTAAGCAATAATTCAAGAACAGGTGCTGGTGAAGAAGGAGAAGAGAGCTGAGGTTTTTGCATCCAGTGGAAGCATTAGAAAGATTTGAAATATGCAGATACCAAACCCATTGTTTGTTCATATTCTTTCGTTGTAAAATAGTTCTCATGCAAATTTACGTAAATACACACACAAACACGTGTGTATTGTATATGTGTATATACACATAGGGTTTGAACGATGCGAGAACATTTACGGGTCTCAAAATTAGTTAACATATGATAAAAATTAGAATAAATGAAAAATAATTAGTATTTATCGATAACGTTCTGTTATCCTAGATTTATCATTATCTCTTAAATTTTGTTATTATTATCGCAGATTTTTTCTGTCGATGTGTCCGTTGTCGATAACGAGGTGATAATACTGTGATAATTATCTGAATTTTCTGTAATAATAATATGATAATGATTTGATAAGTTAAAGACTTTTTATGATGTGATTTTGATGATGATAATCATCTAATAATTATGTGATTTTTGTTGTGAGAGGAGTGTCATAATGTTGTAATAAATGAAAACCAATGATGATCATGTTTAAATTTATCGTTCTTTTTGTTCATTATGTGATTTTGTTGCGATAGTAATATGATAATTATTTGATATCAGTTAACATATTATATGTATGTGATTTTAGAGATAAGGATGTCACCAAAATTACAGATAAATATGAAATTACATGATTATCCTTAATTAATTAGTTTATTTTCTTTTAATTTTAATTATAGGTTAAATAAATTGGAGGCCCATGAATGTTCTTGCATTCTCGCAAAACCAGGATGTTCTTGTTTGAGCCTCCACACACACATATATTTTGTAATATATACGTTTTATCAACAGTTAGATGTGTTGTGATTAAAACATTGATTCAATAAGTTTATATCATAACTCAACCAAATATATTATGTGCATCTTGTTGAGAATGATACGTATTTCCTCCTGAATGGTAACTGCATTTTGGCATAAATTCTGGAAGACTAATCGGAAGCAATTAATAGGGGAAGACAAAAGTCTTCTAATATTTCGGTTATTATCTCAATTCATGGAGAATAGTTGTTTTTACCTTCAAATATATATTCTYCATTCATTCATAAGAAAAAGTAGTATTGAAGGAGAGCCAGAGAAGAGACGATAGAAAGATTGAGATACTTATAAACTCTTRTAACTTCCTCATTTTTCCTCATAYAGTGATATCATCGGTTGTGCCTGTGGTTTTTTCCCGCAAGGGTTTTTCCACGTAAAATCTTGGTGTTCTCGTTTTATTTCCTTTATTATCGTCGATTAATTATTACACATCTCATGACACTCCTACTTAGAATATACTTATATGTGATAAAAAAAAAACAATTTTTACGTATTTGTTTACCTTTTAATAGTTACATTTTGAGATAACCTATGATTATGTCAAAGCTAAATCTTGTTTGGTAAAAAAAAAATTGAACATCTGAATAGCTTCAAATCCATTCGAATCGCTCACTTGCCACCCCGTAGCCATTCCATTCAGAGGTGTGCCTTTTTTTATATGATTACCCCGGTCTCATCTCTCTGCTAACTAATTTCTTCATAATAGTTAGTACTTCTCTGCTAACTCACACATAATCCTCACCTTTGATAAGGTTTGAACCCTTGACCTCCTATGAGACCAATGACTCACATACCGATAGGCCAAAGGCCCTTTGGTAAGCTATCCTTTACTTGTTTGTTGCATATTTCAATCTAGTTAAGTTTATTCGAATTTTTGTATTAAATTTCATTGATTTCACTACTCTTATGGGGTGTTTGGTTTGATGGAACGATTTTGAAGGATTTGGACCTTTTGTGTTAAATTTTCTCAATCTTTTTGGTTGATGTTTGAAGTGTTAGAATTTGTTAGGTTTATATAAAGATAGAAAATCTAATAAGAAAATGGATGCAAAAAAAGGACAAATTTTAGTGGTCAAAATGAATAGTCAAATTGAGTAGCAGCTGGTCATGTGGGGGAGGAGCCGAGTGTAAGGATGGAAACGGGGCGGGTAATGCATCCCTCGTCCTTGCCCCCCGTTTAAGCTCCCATCCTCGTCTTGCCCTGCCCCGACGGTTTTGGGGACCCGTTGGTACCTGTTTAGTAAAAAACCAATGTATTTTAAAATTAAAATTATAATAAATTGTCACTACATTAACTACCAATATTGGAATCGTGTCATTTAGTAATAAATGTATACATATGTATATAAGCGAATGATCGTGTGAGAATGAGAGTTAAGATGAGAAGCATAAGAAGGGATCTGTATCATTGATCACTTTTAATCTCATGCTCATCCATGAACTGCTCTTTAGAAGGAAATAGATCCGGTGCATCTCGGTGTATCTCATTGTAATGTGCATTCAAGGGGGGAGATCCCTTCTTATGCTTATCAAGTTAATCTCCTTCTCACCAGAACCCAATCCTATGCACATATGTGTGTGTGTGTGTGTGTGTATATATATATATATATATATATATATTTGTGCGTGTGTGTACGTGTGTACTTATGCACATAAAAAATCTAATCAGGGTCGGATTAAGGGCGGTAGTTCCATCCCCGACCCATTTCAGGTATGAGATTAAATCCCCATCCCCGCCCCGTTACCCGTCAAAGTGGGGAATCCTTGCCCCTTTAGGGTCGACCCTTGATACACACTAATTATTTAGTGCTAAAGCACTCTTTTCTTCTCATTTAGATAGGATCTTTTCCATTTAAATCCCAACCTTGAATCATTTTACTTCATTATTTTCCATTTCTATGTTTTTGGAACTAGAGATGATGATATACTTATTTTTACTCTTTAAAGTAAGCTAATATGGCCTTTTGGACAGGATTGATATAGAAGATCTCATGTTGCAACATTTCTATAGCAGCAAGCAGATAGAAGGAATCGAATGACTAAAAAGAGGAATGACTTTTGGACAAACTTATAAGATCATGGAAGACATTTTGGAAGAATTCTGGTTTAAAAAATGTTGGAAATTAGTTGTCAATTTAATTATCTAATTAGTTGTCTAAACAATACACTTAAATCTTCCTGCTTTTGACTATTGTGTACTTGTTAGAAAGCTTTGGCTCTAAATTACTTGTTGATTACTCTTCCCCCCCCCCCCTCCTAGTTTTGTATAAAACTATAAATAGGGGGGTTGGGTTAATCTTTTGGGATGCAATCTCCAAGCCATTTTCAGTTGTAAAGAACTGAATTTCTCTCCTTTAAACTTTTCTTTAATTGTCTTTTTAATTTCAATTTTAATTTATATTACTGAAGGATTGTGTGAAGTTCCATAGCAATTATGCGACATTCTAATTTTCTTTTATTTATTACGCTTTCCATCTTTACATACCACTCTTTAATTTTCATCATTTACTTTTCGTCATTTAATTTCATGTCTTTAGTTACTGCAATTTACATTTGTTGCAATTTTCTTTCCGTTATGAGTAGTTAAATCTCTTAGCTTGGGAATTGAAAATTGTGAGTTTGTAAATCAAAAGAAAGTAGATCCTTTTCTGTAACAACAATGTTTTATTATTTCATTTCAAGTTTCATAAAACCAATGACACTTCTCGATGAGTTGATAACTGCAAAGTGTTAAAGTGTTAGGAACTCTAAGTTGAGTCATTGATTGCATGTCAATTTGGATGATATGTGAAGTAAACTTGAGAGAGTTGCTAACAAAGAGATTTGTTATCTATGTTTTTTGAATTGGTTAATTATGGACAAGTTGATCACTTTGAAGTGTTAAAGTGGAATGGACTCAGAGATSAGTCATTCAGAACACGTCAACTTGAATGATATGGGAATCTACTCGAAAGAGTAATTTTTAACAAAAATATTTGTTTATCCGTATACTTTGAGGACATAGAAAGTCAGGCTCTTCTTCTGTTCTACGCTCTCGCACTCCTCATATCCGCGAAGCTGAAGCGGGAGAAAAAGCTTTTCTCCGAAGGCTATTGAATTAGCTAAACCACGTGAGTGGCGGCTGTCCATTTGTCACTTTCACTGGTCTGAATACCATATAAAAATATGAGTTGAAAGTTATAATATCAATGTAATGTTGACGTCCGAGAGGAATACCCTCTAAATAAATGGTGAAAATGTTGTTACTAATTGCATGTTATAGCATTTTGACAACATTGGTTTATGTTGTAGCATTTTGACAGCATTGGTCTACTGGAAATTGTATTTATATCTCAGACTAAGTCTTACACCCTGACTTTCTTTTATTATTCTGTTATTTTAAATTGTTAACTCAACAACCAATCAAAGTCTTCAAGATCGCCATCTGAAACCATTTCTTTCATTCTACTTTTATTCAGTTTTTACTACGATCTCTGTTGACGATACTCAGTACTTGTACCACTTAATTAGTGAAAAACGGTATTAGGGCTAATTATATATTTGCTTTTGATCCTGATTAATAAGTATGTGGGTGTGTAAAAAGCTCATCTAGTCGGGTGGGCCATTACGCGTGCCGCCGAGCGCTCCTCGTCACCCCGCTCGTAATCGCCTGATGTTGTCAGAGTTCGACAACTTTTGTCTCTTTAGTCACATCGAGGTCAAATCCTAACGATGTCTCTTATCAGATTTTGGTATATTTAGTGGGCTATTTAGCGCATCTTCAGGAGGAAGAAGGAACCCATTATTATTTTTGTAAAAGAAAATGTATTTTAGGGCTATTTTGTAGTTTTTTTTTTACAAAAGGCTATTTTGGTCAAGAACCCTTTTTTATACACCCTTGTATATTATACTATGACATGCAAGACAAACTGCAAGACTAGCCCTATGTAAGCTCCAACCATGACAGTACAAACCTATTATTTTGGCGCATATCAGATTTGAGAATTTGCCATTTTGGCGACAAAAAAAAAACAGGTTAAGGTTTTATTATCAACATTTGGCCCCTATGCATCGAAAGATTTAAAAAAAATACATATTAACCATCAAATTTGATGTAACTCCCGGATTTCCACCGACGAGTGACTTTTCAAAAACACTACAATTTGATACCACAAGCATCTGAAACATCAAAATTTACATCAAATTTATGTTATATTGTGTAGCAAAAGATTCAATCCCGTCTATTCTCATTAACAGAGTCAATTAGTATATCATCATGGAATACATCAACACCTTCTTTATCGTACAATACTCAATACAACTGTTTTGTATATTGAGGCATACAACTTATGCCATAACATATGAGAAATACACATACACTTTTGTAAGCCAAATGACTTATGATGATGTGTGTTTTGTGTTGAAACAACTTCGATGCTTATTTCACGTAATCTACACAATATAACACAATTTTATTGTGGGATCTGAATTTCATTGTTGGGTAATTGGACCCGATGAACATACCCTGTACTAACATGAGGTGGCTTGCTCACACTATATTAGCTTGCCACTCTTAATCGCTACATACACACAATATTACAAGGTGTGAATACACTAAATTGGCATCTCGATGTTCTATTATATTACACCAACCTTACACTTATTTGGTAAACACACTTATGCACAAAAATCAGACATATGCAAAATTACTTCACAAAAATTTGCAAATTTAGCACATAACTACGCATAGGTTTGTGCTCTTGGTTTTCATTAAACCATGTATCACTATATGGGTTAATCCCTTTTTTTTCCTGCACGTTCTTTTTCATTTTCTCCTCTACCCTTGTGATAATTGTGTGATTGTGTAACCATAACCTATCGAAACCATGATCAATGAAGTGTAACCATAACCTATCGAAACCATGAGTAATCGTTGTGATAAATGTGTGATTGTCTAACCCTAACCGATCGAAATTATGATCAAATTGAGTGCGCAAGTGATGTTATAATAGTGATATCACATGATTATTACACTCATATCACACCAAATCGTTTAGTGGATTTCGTCCGTAATCGTTGTGATAAATGTGTGATCATTTAATCCTAACCGATCGAAACCATGATCAAATCGAGTGCGCTGTTATGATAGTGATATCACATGATTATCACACCCATATCACACCAAATCGGTAGTCGATTTTCTAA